CGGTACGAGTGGCGTTCAGTTTGTAAAGCTACCGCGTTATTGACATTCACAGTCATCGTCGTAATCATTGTCATGGTGCCCTCTTGTGCTCCGAGTTAGCCTGCAGTGTCACTGTGAGCGTCTGCCTTCGTACATCAGTGAATATTACATTGAGAGATTTGAGTGAATATTTAGAAGTGACATTGAGCGTTTATAGAAGCTCACGCGTGCTATGCGGGCTTGGTTCGTGCAGCAGCAACAATAAAAGAACAACGCAACAAAATCACCACAACATCCAAACAACATAACACAGCAAAAAACAACTACATGACTAAACAACCACACAACAGCACAACAGAACAAGAGCAACCACGCAAAACAACAACTACCCAAACAGCACCAACAACTCAAACGTTTACTCAAACAGGACTTGGCCACACATCCCATTCTAGTAGCATCCGACTGAAGACAGAATCTGGGGAATCCCATGGACAGGCGATTACCCGAATTAATTCTACTGATCGAAACACCCCAGCGGGGAGAGCTGTGAGTTGATCGCAGATCAGCAGCCATCCGCCTCTTGCTGTAGAGCAGCCTCTACAAGAGAGCGTCACTCTTTACACGGCAATGGAGTTCAACACGGGTCCCTAGCTCGCGTTAGCGGCGTCGTGTTCACCTCACATCTCGGCACCTCGCTCCATGCCGTGCCCGCTGTCTGTGCGGTGCAGTACAACGACCCTCACGGTGTTCAGAGCTCGCCACGCATTCCCTCTGGAACATTTTTACTCGATCAGTAGTGTAGCGATTAGCGCGCTGCATTACGAACCGGTTCTGGGCCTCCCCTAGGTCGACTCAGCCTAAAATGAGTACCTGGTATGATGTGCAAATACCGTCGCTCGGGAGACAAAGGAGGCCGGGCTTTGTGTTTGCCACCCACCCCCTCGTGTGCCGTGCCGGCCTGCTCGCTAACAGCACTTGCCGCAACAGTCTGTTAAGGTTATATGGGGATCATTGTCGTTGTTGTTGTGTGGTTGTTATTTTTGTGTTTGTTGCCGCACGAGCATAAACACGCACACCACATGCTATTTTCTGTAAACGATCAATACCAGCTCTAATTATTTTCAACTTTCACTCATTTAATCTTCACGAATGTTCAGTTACACTGCAGACTAACCTGAAGCACTAGAGGACACCATAACGACGGTGATAATGACGATGACCGTGGATTTCAATAACGCGGTAGCTTTATAAACTGAACACTACTCGTGCCGAGCGTCATCTCTATCCCTATTCCCAGCGACAAAGCAGAGTCCGTGCCTGGCAGTGCTGGCTCTGTTTGTCAAATGCGTCCCTGGGAACGCCCTTCAGCTGATTGTTCTGCAGATACAGATTAGTGAGCTGGGTCAGTTTGTCAAACAACCCAGTGGGGAGAGACGCGAGTTCCTCACTGCGCAGCAACCTCAGACACTCGCTCTCTGCTGTTTCGGAAGACTCTAGCAGAGTGAATGTTAAAACGACTCCAAAGAGCATTGTTTACATTTATTTCACAACATCAAGCTTGTGAGCAGATTAGTGTTGTTCAAAAAATATCAAATTCATTATTCAACGTCCCATGTCTATCCACTGCTCGATGAAGCGACCAATTATAATTATTGAACAACGAAGAGTGGACTACTTTTCTCGCATTAGTTGAATAGACTAAGACAATTATTCAATGAAATACTGTACACAGGGCTGGAAATCAAGTGAAAATCCACAAATAACGCGAGGCATTCGTTAAGCGCACTGCCTTAGAGGGAAAATAAAGCTATGAAACGTAGCGGGCACGTGCATATACGAGACATGAAGAAGGGCCATCGCCTGAAATGTCACCCATTATATATTTCCCGTTAGGGCAGCGTGTGTGTGTGTGTTGAGTTTGTTTTGTTATCTGTGCTTGTGGGCCACTGCTTGCCAAGGCGGGATCCACAAATAATTTGTAAAGTTACACGAGGCGTCGTCGAGTCGACTTAGGCTGACTTCAGGAACACAATCAGACCGAATGAATACAGCGCCTGACCGAGCTGGTGAGTCTACAGGAGCTTTTCCTCGGTGATAACAAATTTACGTAGTTGCCCGCAGGCGTAGGGAAGTTGCCGACACTGTCTCACTTAGGTCTGGACCTAAACCAGTTGAAGAGCATTGCCTGGAGACTGGGTCGCTCTTCCCATCGTGTGCTGTTCACACGTGGCTCGAGCCGACATCGGACATAGCGCTCAGCGTGCTCAATGCCCCGGATCAGTTGACAATGTCACCATCGAGGAGTAACAGATTAGGGTGCAGCCCTGCCAGGTTCACGCCACTGATATCGGAAGGGCCTCCACTGTAGGGAGCTTTAGAGAGCTCCTCTGTAGAATCTTTAGGCGATTCTTCCACGATGGGCTGGTGCAGGTCAGCTGGTTCATTCTGTAAAGTTTGGGCTGCGGGTTGGCGCATTAACTCCCTGCCTGCCTCCCCAACTGTCTGAAAATGTGTGGTCACGTGGAGCGCGTGAAAGTGAAATATCATGGACAGAGTCGAGCAACGCCGTGCACTTCCTATTGGCACAGTTGTTTGGACGAAAGTTCAACATATATACATTGTAAACTAACATTGCACTTGCTGAGTCTCCAAGCCAAGTTGTTGAAGTTTCTCTGGGTCGTCTCCGCACGTGAATCATAGCGTTGCTCGCAAATGATGCTGGGTAATGTTGAATTGTGAATGTAACGCACTGTGGTGGGCGGGAGTGCTGGTGCAGTGGGTAGCGCAATCGGTTATAAATTGGGTGACATCATCCCAAACCCACCAGACGACACAAACCCACAGTTACCAACGTGGTGAGTATAGCTAACAGAACCCCCATGTCCAGTGGCGGCTCCTGCAAAATCTCTCAGGGGGGGCAAATGTCTGGATGATTGATAAGGATAAGGTCCAATGGATAAATTAACAGCTTAAGCATGTAAAGGCAACTTCACTTCTTTAATATTAATGAAAAATAAAGTGACTCTTACAATACATCTTGTTTGTTTCTATACTCACTATTAAAACAAACCACTCAAGTTTATTTTATTAAAGATTCCACTAGGTGGCCACAAATTATATTGTTGGATGAAACGTGCTTACGTATGATGACGTAAGCACGTATGATGACGTAAGCACGTTAGGGCGAGCCCTCCCGGAAACCATAGAGAATGCCTTGGAGCGCCCCCCGGTCGAAAAAAAACATCTTTGAATGTAAGTCTATGGGGCCACTCGGGGCGATTCTCAGCCGGAGTGAAATCGCCCAAAAAGAGGCGGTACTCCACAGAACGTGACATGACGCTGATTGGATTATATCCAGAGGCTGCAGTGACGGCTAGCGTGACTCTGTGCTTCAATGACATTGGTGGTGCGTCGCCCAATCGCCCTAATGAAGAAACCGCCCCTGCCCATGTCGCTACCACATATGACCAGCACTTCGTGGGAAGGCTTTTATCTTGCAGTGGATTGACAAGTGGCTAAATTATCATTCATTATTATGAGCAGGAAAGCGCGGAACTTCTACGGCTACAGCATGGCGGATATGTACAGAGACTGACGATTTCACACACTGAGTGATTTCAAGCAGAAATATGTATTTTTCATACTCTTCTACCTACGTGACTTTACCGAAAGAACCAACGAGTATGGATTCCTGCAGTCACGAAATCTTCAAATCACGTATTTTTCATATAGACAGTATGCTGAAAATAACTGAACACGTTCCTTCGGAGTGAGCAGGTAGGAACGTGGTTGGACAGCGCATTCGTGCACGACAGACAAATATGCACGACAGACAGACAAATATTCCCTGGTGGGCAGTGTGGAACCTGTTGTTCCTACCTGTATAAAAGATAACTTGACTTGAGGTCGCCAGGCAGCCAGCCAGGTAGCCAGCCTTCTTACCTATCGGCCCCTCCCCCTTGCTTAGGCCCCTCCCCTTACCCCCCTCCCTTACGCCCCTCCCCGTACCCCCCCTCCCTTAGGCCCCTCCCCTGACCCCCCCCCTCCCTCAGGCCCCTCTGCTGACCCCCCCTCCCTCAGGCCTTTCCGCTGACCCCCCCTCCCTTAGGCCCCTCCCCTGACCACCTCCCCATATCCTTAGGCCCCTCCCCTGACCACCCCCTCCATATCCTTAGGCCCCTCCCCTGACCCCCCTTCCCTTAGGCCCCTCCCCTGACCCCCCTTCGCTTATGCCCCTCCCCTGAACACCCCCTCCTCTATATCCTTAGGCTCCTCCCCTGACCCCCCCCCCCTCCAGCCCCTCTCCTGACTCCCCCATGCCTTAGGCCCCTCCCCTGACCCTCCTCCCTTAGGCACCTCCCCTCTCCGTACCCGGCAGTAGGTCTCCACCAATCAAAGAGCTGTTTATATTATATATAATTATGCACGAAAGACAGTCAGACAGACAAATAATCCCTGGTGGACAGTGTGGAACATATTGCTCCTACCTGTATAATCATTAACGATTGTATCTCTATTACAATGCATTTTGTTGATGGAAGTATAAACAAGAACAAAAAACGTACCCAATTATGTTGCAGTAAATATTAGTAAAAAATAGTTAGATAGACAAACACGCGACTAGGACTCATACAAGAGGATGAAACTAAACTCCAGGAAACACGCCGAGGAGGCTGCACGTTCTCCACACTGCGACTGCGACTGGGCTGAATGGACGCGCGATCTTTCGTTCTGTTTGTCGGATAGAACAGGAGACAGATCCGCTCCAGACTTGTTTACTTATTTTTCTGTAAGTCTCGGTGCGTTACAGACAGAAACACAAGTGTATTATTAGTAATATTATGAATACAGAGCCATTGCCATTTGTTGAAATTTGGAAAACATTAACCGGTTTTGACTTCATTGGGTCTCATCAGTAAGTTGCATGTCTGTACGCGAACAAGAGTGTGTGCTTGGATGAGAGAATGTATGACAGCCTGGGGAATCTCATGGAGCTTTCATTTCAAAATAATCAGCTGCAGGCTCTACCCGCTGGGGTGTTTGACCGCCTGGTGAATCTGAAGAAGCTGCATCTGGACTATAACCAACTGCAGGCGATACTGCCCACTCTGTTTGACCGATTGACTGAACTGACGATTATGGTGCTGGACAATAACAAGCTGACGACCGTTCCCGCTGGGGTGTTTGGCTGCCTAGTGAAATTGCAGAAGCGGTATTTGTAGAGGAACTAGCTGAGTGAGAGCCGTTCCGGACAGATACGGTTTTCAGGGAATAGACCAGCGAGAGTAATAAGTAGCATGATACTTCAGAGTCGCCAAGTCAATGTGAATAACACTAATTTAACTCATCCAGACAAGTCTTACCCAGTCTCAGGACTGTGCTAAGGATGGTCCCACATTGGGGCGTGTGGTAACTCCGTTGTGAATGCGTGTTTGACACGTTGGAGGAAACCCTGGAGAAAACCCACCGCGCATACCATGCAGGGAATGACACTCAGCAGTCCGTGCAAACAGGTTCACGAGCCCTCCGGTTGTACTGCTACCACGTGGCCATCTCCAATGTTGTTAACTTAGTTCTGACTGTATATCAGCTCATGGAGAGAGTCATTGACTGAGACGGTAAGTGGATGGTGCGTGTTGTCACCGCACTGTCCATGTCCATTATGCACTTCGTCGTGTAAACCAAAGAAAGGTAAAGAGAAGGATTCACGTGGCGCTGGTGGTGTTGCTGGCGAATGTCGCTTCATGTTCATGTCAGGCAAGGCCCCTTTGTCCATTTGTATCCCACGTTCAGCCATGTCAGTCATCTGCCTATGGAGGCAGCTAGAATTCCTGGTTTCCTTCTCCACACCAAAGGCTTATTTAACTCTGAACAACCATCTCGACTGCTATGCAAAGCACGCATTCGGCCGCCGTTGAACCGTGGTGTCAAATTAACAGTAGAGCACCCAGTGCCTACCTCTCGAAAGAATGCAACATAAAGTAGTCAGGTTGACTAATAATATAATACAATATTCACTTATCCAATCACTCCCTAACCTGCAGCCAGTCACCTCCTTATCACCCTTCTGTCGCCACTACCATCATTACTGCGCTTCTGCTGCAGTCTGGAATGCTCTTCCGAAATTTGAAAGCACATGGAGCTATGCACTTTGAAATATAAATTGAAAACTGGTTTCGTTAAAACTGATTTTTGCGTTTAGCTTGTTGTACTTCCCCCGCACCTCCGAGTCCCACAGTTAGTTACGTACGGTGCAAAAAAAAGTTCAACATACATACTTTTTTTAAGAACTCCACTCATTCGTTCTTCCCCCATGTTCAGTACTCAGTCTGTTAGATGGACTATTACGTCGCATCCGTACGTTGTCCATCACACGCAGAGCTACTTGTGCACAGCAGCGGGTATACGCAGATGACAACAACAACAAACATTTTGACTTAAAAAACAACATAGGTGATGAAATCAACTGCGTCCATTTCGTTACCCCCCCCCCTACCCCGTAGTGATTCTTTAAAAATACAGTTTGTTGTACATTTTGTTATCACTCAGACATTCCATAGTGATGCATTCCATTGCCATATTTAGACAATTATGATTACGTAAAATTACGTTTTAGATTTAAGTAAAAAAACGGCTTCCCGCAAGGGGGAAGCCAAAGAGCCGCATTCGGCTCAGGATCCGCAGGCTGCCGACCCCTGACACACACACAATGTATACATGAACGCACGTGTAAGGGGTCATCCATAAATGACGTCACGCAAATTGGGCCGATTTTTGACCCCCCCTTCCCCCCCTCATCACACGGCGTTACAAAAAGTAAGACCCCCCTCAAATATGACGTCACAAAACTCTGCCCCCCCTCCCCCCACAAAACCGTATTTCCATTTTGGAAATAAAACATGCTTCAAATAACTTTAAATTGAAACTATAGTCATTCTACTGCGTATGTAATGTGGCGCTGCAATTTGATGTTGTAGGAGAAAACATGTATTAAAAAGGAGGCGTTGGAAAGCTGAAATTTAGCATAAAATTCACTTGAAAATATTCAACGTCTAACTGGTCGTGAATACGACGTAGAATGGATAGGTCATGGTTCTTGATGATTGCATATACACGTATTGACATGAAAAAAATACGTAGTATGAAGTAGGTGAGAGCCTATCGGAATGTATATCTCTATGCTCATGGGAGAACTCGTGAATACTTTAATAAATGATCCAATAGATTTACGAGTAAGTGAACTGTAGACACAGTGATCAGTATTATACATTACGTTTCAACGAAGCACTTTTAAAAGTAATTGGGATTAAACATTTTGAGGGAAATCTTCAAGAAGAGGCAACTCGTGTAAATGTTGGACCACACGCGACACCGCTCGCGTGCAAGGGGAGGCCCTCGTGAGCCGCCTCTTAACGGTCGCCCGTCCCTCGCAGTGTTCGTGCTCAGGGACAACTGTGAACTGCCAGGGCAGAAGCCTCGCGTCTGTGCCTGCGGGAATCCCCACCACCACGCAGAATCTGTATTTGCACAGCAATCAGATCACGAAGCTCGAGCCCGCGGTGTTTGACCGCCTGACGGCACTGGTGGAGACACGAGACATCAAGGCACCTGCTACAATCACATTAACATCTTTCATATTTACACAAAAGATGACGTTACATTGTTTTTTGGACATCGTTTACGTGAATATGTGTGCCTTTAAAAAGGATAATTCTGACAATCTAAATTGAGTTAATTTTACCTGAAAGATGTTTATGATTTTCGATTTAAAGCTTTCGTGACTGCAGGGATTCATCTTCTTGTTTCTTTCGGTAAAGTCACGTAGAAGGGAAGTAATAAAATAATAAAAATAAAACATAATAAAACAATTCTCACGACGTTTCGGCTACAACGCAAGCAGCCGTCTTCAGGTGAAGAATGAGACACTACCAAACTAGGAGCTTATATATAAGCTGCATTGGGGGTTGAAGAGCGCCTTAACAAAAAGAATGTGCATGTGAAGAGGAATTTAGCATATTCATGGAAAATGCGTAGGCGTTGGGCGGTGGGGTGTCAAAGTCATATTATGCCCATGCATTATGCAGGATCAGCAGCAACCAAGGGGGGTGCAGGGATTAGCAGTAACAAAGGAAAGGAATGTTAATGATATGTAGCTGCAGTTACTCAACAACCACGTAGAAAACTAAAGTATAAACTACATAAAAAACTAAAGTATAAACTGCTTCTACGTGGTTGTTGAGTAACTGCAGCTACATATCATTAACATTCCTTTCCTTTGTTACTGCTAATCCCTGCACCCCCCTTGGTTGCTGCTGATCCTGCATAATGCATGGGCATAATATGACTTTGACACCCCCCCGCCCAACGCCTACGCATTTTCCATGAATATGCTAAATTCCTCTTCACATGCACATTCTTTTTGTTAAGGCGCTCTTCAACCCCCAATGCAGCTTATATATAAGCTCCTAGTTTGGTAGTGTCTCATTCTTCACCTGAAGACGGCTGCTTGCGTTGTAGCCGAAACGTCGTGAGAATTGTTTTATTATGTTTTATTTTTATTATTTTATTACTTCCCTTCTACGTGACTTTACCGAAAGAAACAAGAAGATGTTTATGATTGTAAATAGATATCGATTCAAATAACGGGGAAGTGTTTTCTTTGGATAACAGATCTTTCTGAACAGGAATTGAGTTTGCTTGAGTTAATACATCTCTGTGAAAGCGAATCAGGGTGTGAGAGGCATCAATGCGAATAGCAGAGCAGCAGGCAAGGGAGATAACGCACCCCGAAGGACGTCCACCATGGAGATGGAGTAATGACAGCAGCTCGTGTGCAGGTGCGAGGTGGTTCAATACATCTCATGGTCGTGACTATGGTTTGCTGTGGATCTTTTTTTTAACGTAATCTATGCATTGATAAATTTGATACTAAGTAGGTGAGTGCCTATGGTTAATGGTTTTTGCGCAGTGAAGAACTCACGTTTTTCCCCGCGAAGGTGTTTGAAAAACTGACCCAGCTCACTCATCTGCTTCTGGCCACCAACCACCTGAAGAGCGTTCCCAGGGGCGCGTTATACAAACGGATCCAGCACTCTGCTTTTTCGCTGCGCACCGGGTTAGAGACGTCGCTCGGTACGAGTGGCGTTCAGTTTGTAAAGCTACCGGGTTATTGACATTCACAGTCATCGTCATCGTGTCTTCTTGTGCTCCGAGTTAGCCTGCAGTGTCACTGAGCAGTGACGTGAGCATTTGCCTTCGTGCATCAGTGAATATTGCATGGAGTGAATTGTGTGCACAATTATAGGTGATTTTGAGCGTTTATAGAAGCTCACGCGTGCTGTGCGGGCTTAGTTCGTGCATCAACAACAACAGAACAACGCAACAACATCACCACAACATCCAAACAACGCAACACAACAAAAAACAACAACATGACAAAACAACCACACAACACCACAGCACAGCAGAACAAGAGCAACTACTCAAAAAACAACTTCCCAAACAGCACCAACAACGCAAAACTTTACTCAAACAGGACTTGGCCACAAATCCCATTGTAGCAGCATCCTATTAAAGACTCAGCCTCTTGTCTCGATGTGGCACCCATAGAGAGGCGAATGCCGGAATTATTTCCACTGATCGAAACACCCCAGCAGAAGAGGACATGAGATCATCACTGAGCACGAATAGCAGATCAGCAGCCTCCGCTTCTTGCTGTAGAGCAGCCTCGACAAGAGAGCGTCGCTCTTCACACGGCGGTGGAGTTCAACACGGGTCCCTATGTGTCGTGTATTAGCGGCGTCGTGTGTTTAACCAATATAAGTTTGTCATGTCCAGTGACTTTTATGTTCGAGTAAAGTCAATCAGTCTTCTTTATCACTGCATATTTCTATATTTCTGATACATACGTCATGGCGAGCAGAAGCAACGGATTGACATTTGTACTCGAGGAAAAATGTAACGCTGAGATTAAAGGGTAAAATATATTTCAAACGCACTTTAAATTGAAAGTATTCACTTGTACATGTTACCATTTTATCAGATCGCTATAAGTAGGATATTCTGCTGCGTTTTCAAGTTGCGTCCCTCCAACAATTATTTTATTTGATCATCACTTTTTGTACAGTATGTTGGTGTTTTGTTTACTATATGTGTGCATATTTGAAAATGTTGCTTGATTATGAATAATCTAATAACCTACAATAATGTGGTTTACATTGACATTCTTGAGGCTATTCATTGTATGAATTAAGTTGTAACAAGGTGTTATTTGCTCGATTATAGCAACACCAATAAGGAGAATCAAACAATGCAAATAAAACATTACAAACGAGAGCAGGTTGGAGTGCTTTTGTGAAGCTGAAGTCCACAATGAAACGTAAAATTCCAATGTGCCTACAACTAGACATGATGATCCGCGTGAACCGACTCCTAGAGCAGATGGTGCAGACGCATGACTGAGAAGTGCGCAGAGAAGCACTGCGAGTTGCATGCTCGGAATGAAATTGCGAGGCAGAGGAACACGTGGACCAGAGACCAAACTCTTGTAAACGACATCAAACTGATGATAAAAGTAAGCTGGCTTGGTCATGATATAGCGCAAGAGGGGGCTGTGGAATAATCCAGGATGGTCAGTGCACATTGACCACGGTCGATAACTATAGCGGAGTGGCAGCCCATGTAGGGAATGAGCCCGGAAGGACGTCCACCATGGAGATGGAGTAATGACAGCAGCTCGTGTGCAGGCGCGAGGTGAATTCATCCATCGCGTGGTCGTGACTACAGCTTGTAATGGATTGATCATGGTTCTTAATGATTACATATACACGTATTGACATGAAAAGAATATGTTATATGAAGTAGGTGAGAGCCTATTGAAATGTATGTCTACATTCATGCGAGAACTCGTAAATACTTTAATCAATGATGCAATAGATTAACTAGTAAGTAAACTATAAACGCAAATACAGTGATCAGTATTCGCGGCGTATATACAGTACGTTTCAACGAAGCACTTTTAAATGTAATTGGGGTAAAACATTTTGAGGGAAATCATCAGGAAGAGGCAACTAACTCGTGTAAATGTTGGACCACACGTGACTCCTCTCGCGTGCAAGGGGAGGCCGTTGTGAGCCGCCTCTAAACGTCGCCCGTCCCTCGCAGTGTTGGTGCCCAGGGGCAGCTGTGAACTGCAATAGCAAAAGCCTCGCGTCTGTGCCTGCGGGAATCCCCAGCAACGCGCAGTCTCTGTCTTTGCAAGTCAATCAGATCACGAAGCTCGAGCCCGGGGTGTTTGACCACCTGACGGCACTGGTGGAGACACGAGTACAAGCACATGAACATCATTCATAGTTACACAAAAGATGACGTTACATTGTTTTTTGGACATAGTTTACGTGAATATTTGTGACTTTGATAAGGATAATTCTGACTATCTAAATGGCGTTGATTTTACCTGACAGCTGTTTATGATTGTAAACAGATATGACTTCAAATAACGGGGAAGTGTTTTCTTTGAATAACAGATCTTTGTGAACAGGAATTAAGTTTGCTTGAGTTAATACATCTCTGTGAAAGCGAATCAGGGTGTGAGAGGCATGAATGCGAATGGATGATGTCCAATGCACATTGACCATTGTCGATAACTATAGCGGAGTAGCAGGCAAGGGAGATAACGTGTCCCGAAGGACGTCCACCATGGAGATGGAGTAATGACAGCAGCTCGTGTGCAGGTGCGAGGTGGATTAATACATCGCATGGCCGTGACTATGTTTTGCAGTGGATCTGTTTTATTACGTAATCTATGTATTGATAAATTTGATACTAAGTGGGTGAGTGCCTATGGTTAATGGTTTCTGCGCAGTGAAGTACTCGCGTCTTTCACCGTGGGGCTGTTTGACAAACTGACCCAGCTCACTCATCTGGCTCTGGCCACCAACCACCTGAAGAGCGTTCTCTGGAGCGCGTTTTACAAACGATGCCAGTGTAATAAAGGACTCTCTCTCAGATGTCGATCTCCGTTGTCCTTTATTGGGTTCGTAGAATCTCGATACCACGGCGTCTCGCTCAGGGCCCGCGTCCCGCTCGACGACCTCTCCACAGCCTCGGCTGCTCCAATATGCAGTCTCCCTGCTGCTCCAATATGCAGTCTCCCTGCTGCTCCGTCAGGCAATCCTTGCAGCACACCGCTGCTCCACTATCTAGCGTCACTGCTGCCCCGTACACAGCTAGCCTCTCACAGCCCCGTTAGCTCTCTCCGTCTGACACCGATGGCTGACGGTGTCGACGTCTCCCACCGCGTGGCGACCGCGCCACTCTCTCCCTCTTGCCCAGCGTGGCCTCCTCGTGTGTCACTCCGTCTCAACTCCCCCTTCCCCATCCGGTTCTCTCACTAAATCCTCTCACCCATGTGACACTAACTCCACCCACTCCCCACGTGACCCAAACTCCGCCCCACCTCAATCCTTGCTCGCATTACACCAGCACTGCCAGGAACGATCTCTGCTTTGTCGCTTAGCACCGGGTTAGAAACGATGCTCGGTACGAGTGGCGTTCAGTTTGTAAAGCTACCGCGTTATTGACATTCACATTCATCGTCGTAATCATTGTCATGGTGCCCTCTTGTGCTCCGAGTTAGCCTGCAGTGTCACTGTGAGCGTCTGCCTTCGTGCATCAGTGAATATTACATTGAGAGATTTGAGTGAATATTTAGAAGTGACATTGAGCGTTTATAGAAGCTCACGCGTGCTATGCGGGCTTGGTTCGTGCAGCAGCAACAATAAAAGAACAACGCAACAAAATCACCACAACATCCAAACAACATAACACAGCAAAAAACAACTACATGACAAAACAACCACACAACAGCACAACAGAACAAGAGCAACCACGCAAAACAACAACTACCCAAACAGCACCAACAACTCAAACGTTTACTCAAACAGGACTTGGCCACACATCCCATTCTAGTAGCATCCGACTGAAGACAGAATCTGGGGAATCCCATGGACAGGCGATTACCCGAATTAATTCTACTGATCGAAACACCCCAGCGGGGAGAGCTGTGAGTTGATCGCAGATCAGCAGCCATCCGCCTCTTGCTGTAGAGCAGCCTCTACAAGAGAGCGTCACTCTTCACATGGCAGTGGAGTTCAACACGGGTCCCTAGCTCGCGTTCGTGGCGTCGTGTTCACCTCACATCTCGGCACCTCGCTCCATGCCGTGCCCGCTGTCTTTGCGGTGCAGTACAACGACCCTCACGGTGTTCAGAGCTCGCCTCGCATTCCCTCTGGAACATTTTTACTCGATCAGTAGTGTAGCGATTAGCGCGCTGCCCTTCGAACCGGTTCTGGGCCTCCCCTAGGTCGACTCAGCCTAAAATGAGTACCTGGTATGATGTGTCAATACCGTCGCTAGGGAGACAAAGGAGGCCGGGCTTGTGTTTGCCACCCACCCCCCCCCGTGTGCCGTGCCGGCCTTCATAGGTGCTCGCTAACAGCACTTGCCGCAACAGTCTGGTAAGGTTATATGGGGATCATTGTCTTTGTTGTTGTGTGGTTGTTATTTTTGTGTTTGTTGCCGCACTAACATAAACCCGCACAGCACATGCTAGTTTCTGTAAACGATCAATACCAGCTCTAATTATTTTCAACATTCACTAATTTAATCTTCACGAATGTTCAGTTACACTGCAGACTATCCTGAATCACTAGAGGACACCATAACGACGGTGATAATGACGATGACCGTGGATTTCAATAACGCGGTAGCTTTATCAACTGAACGCTACTCGTGCCGTGCGTCATCTCTATCCCTATTCCCAGCGACAAAGCAGAATCCGTGCCTGGCATCGCTGGCTCTGTTTGTTAAACGCGCCCCTGGGAACGGTCTTCAGCTGGTTGAACTGCAGTTCCAGATGAACGAGCTGGGTCAGTTTATCAAACACCCCAGTGGGGAGAGACGCGAGTTCCTCACTGCGCAGCAACCTCAGACACTCGCTCTCTGCTGTTTCGGAAGACTCTAGCAGAGTGAATGTAAAAACGACTCCAAAGAGCATTGTTTACATTTATTTCACAACATCAAGCTTATGAGCGGATTGGTGTTGTTCAAAACAATATCAAATTAATTATTCAAAGTAAATTTGTCTATCCACTTCTCGATGAAGCGACCATATTTCCTTACGCTGGTGGGGGGAGTGCGACCCCACACCAATTTTAATTATTGAACAACTAAGAGTGGGCTACTTTTCTCGCTTTAGTTGAATAGACAAAGAAAATTAGTCAATGAAATACTGTACACAGGGCTGGAAATGAACTGAAAATCTACAAATAACGCGAGACATTCGTCAAGCGCACTGCCTTAAAGAGAAAATACATCGATGAAACGTTGCAGCCACGTGCATATACGAGACGTGAAGAAGGACGATCGCTTGAAATGTCACCCATTATATATTTTCCGTTTTGGCAGCGTGTGTGTGTGTGTTGAGTTTGTTTTGTTATCTGTGCTTGCGTACCACTGCTTGCAAAGGCGGTATCCACAAATAATTTGTAAAGTTACACGAGGCGTCGTCAAGTCGACTTAGGCTGACTTCAGGAACACAATCAGACCGAATGAATGCAGCGCCTGACCTAGCTGGTGAGTCTACGGGAGCTTTACCTCGGTGATAACAAATTTACGGAGTTGCCCGCAGGCGTAGGGAAGTTGACGACACTGACTCACTTAGGTCTGGACCTAAACCAGTTGAAGAGCATTGCCTGGAGACTGGGTCGCTCTTCCCATTGTGTGCTGTTCACACGTGGCTTGAGCCGAACTCGGACAAAGCGCTCAGCGTGCTCAATGCCCCGGGTCACCATCGAGGAGTAACAGATTAAGGTGCAGCCCTGCCTGGCTCACGCCATTGATGTCAGAAGGGCCTCCACTGGAGGGAGCTCTAGAGAGCGCCTCTGAAGGACGTCTTGGACGAGGTGGGTGTACCCTCACTTTACTCCACTAAACGCGACGCACCGATCGACTGTAGTGAACTCGTTTGTATCTCGAGGTGCACAGAAGCAGGAGGATAAAAATTAAAACGTCATCATCGTTCCATCAGCTGCGACAAAAAACCAGGCCGGCGACCAATGGTTTAAACATCCACTCTGCTAAGATATACTCCGCAGGAGCAGACTTTGGATTCAATCATCACTAATACCATGATCTACAATAAGCATAAACAGCTACACCCTTGTCATATTCATCATCATCATCCATAGTGAGGTTCATGGCTATTAATAATGAACGTACGTAATTATAACAAAAAACATTAGTGTGTTCTTCAATCTGCTGTTGAAACACAGAATGTTGATTGCAACGAATCAATGTTGCTGGAATAAAAGCGCTCCAAGAAGGCCGTGTCGCCGCTGGATTAGGCAAAAACAACTTGAATTAGATAGGTTGAGTGAAAGACAAATTTGAAAGAGATTCATTGTGTGCTCATATATTTTTTTGTTACAAAAGAAAAAGTTGATACATTTTAGACGATGGATCGACTTCATATAATAACAACTCCATCTCGCGTATGTGTGTGAGTCACGTGTGGCTGTACAGAGCAGCAGTGCAGTGAGTGCAGGGCTGGCGCCTCGGCGTCCCTGCGACGCATCAGTGCCAGTCCCAGGGGTCACTGTGCAGCCAAATGTATTGCAGCTTCGTGAGGCTGTCGAAGGCGCCCTTGGGAACGGTCGTCAGCTGGTGACATTGGTCGGGTGTCTCCTCGTCCATCGATCCACATTACAGACACAGTGTACGTGGATGGCATATGCACATGCATGCAGGAACAAGCGAATCATGTAATCAATGTAGTCCACACTTAAGTACGTGTACATTACGCACATTTAAACGTACATACATATGTAGTGGGTTCGAATTAGGTGCACACACACGCAGCTTGGAGGCAACACTATTTATTAAACGGTAAGTAATATAACACTGTACATGAGGTGGTGACCACCTTCCTCAACTCACTAACACTCTGGAACGCGACACAGACTGGACCAGGCAGGCAACGGCCTGCCTGGCCCAGGACGACGACTCGGGACTTGACGACCGATGATGTCTTCACTTCGGAGTACAGTACAACAGCCTCGCTCTGCGTTCACACCACGCTTATATCTGCTTTGGCGTGGCCGGCTCCGCCCAGGCGTGGCTGGCTCTCTCCAGGCCACGCCTCCCTTCCCAGGACACGCCTCACTCCCCCCACCTCTGGGAAGGTCCGGATCCCTCCACCACGTGACCCCCCAGGCACCCCCTTGGGGCCCCCAGCCCTCGTACGGGCCGACACAGTAGTGACCGTTCTATGTCACTACACATACATACACAAACACACATACCTACATGCACACTTCTATACTCAATGTAGTGTTCTTGACGAACGTGAGTTGTTTTGATTACATCGAGTATAAACTCACGATCATTATATTGTATTATAACAAACGCGTAATGTTTCATCGTAATGATTCCATTTAGAAGAGCCACAGTTCCTTCAGACTCACGAGCTGATGGAACGCGCCAGCACCAATGGGTGTCAACTGATTCGGGTCCAGACCTCATTGAGCCAGTGTAGGCTACACTCAGTGGTGCATAAGCACACGTAACAAAACAAACTCAACACAACACAGTTTCAGTTTAATTTATTTGGTATCGCCATGTAAGCCATTCGGCTCTTGAACCGGATGCAACTGCAACAAACAAAAAATAAAAACATGAACAAAAAAACATCTTAAAGTGACTATGCGCAAACAGAAAAATCCAGGAAAAAACAGCAAAATCTTCCAGAAAAAGCACCGTACACCAACGCTGTGTGCAAAAATCCCAGTGGGATGCAAGTCAAACAACAACAACCACAAGACAAATTAGATTTAAGCCATCAGTTTAACTCCGTACTACAACAAACAAACATGGCTAAAGCAAATTTTTTTCGAAATCACCAAAATAAAGCCATAAAAGCAATGTAACAGTGATCATAGGAACTGTGACCGAAATTTCACAATAAACTACATAAACAACATGTACCACCAAACCCTGTAGCCATAGCTGGCAGCATGAGTCACTCCATAACAGCAGGAGTATCAGTAAGAGTATCAACATTTTCCATTGCACCTCTAAAGATCAGCACACTATAATCAAAACTCAAGATCATACTTTGCAGCGGTCATCCGGAGCGATATATTTGATTTCAGGCCACTGAATACTAGTGGCAGCTAGGGTGTACAACTCCTCAAGAGCAGTTGTGAGTGAATATCTCACAGGTAGTGATCCAATTTGAAGTTTATTGGCGATAACATTCCAGACATTGGGGCATCAATAGCAAAGGCCCTTCCTCCAGTATTTGTACGGCAATAAGGAATGTGAAGCTGGTTGTGACCTTTGGTCACATTTGTTTTCGAAACAGTGAGGACATCTAGCAGGTAGTCTGCTGATTTTTTTGTAAGTACATCGTGATTAAATAAGATCTGATGCACAAGCCGTCGATCATTAAGAGATGTTAAGTTGGACCCAATGTAGAGATCGCAGTGGTGGGTCTTATATATGAAATTCAATGCAAATCTTAAGGCCGAGTGATAAATTTAGTGAAACTTTTTGAGTATAGTACTGGGGGATGATTTATATACGATGTCACAGTAATCAAGCAGAGGCAGTATGCTAGCTTTTATCAATTCCAAACGGAACATAGGGGGAAGCAGTGCTTGTGTCGATACAGAAAACCAATTTTTTATTTTGTCTTTTTACCAATATAATCAATGTGATCTTGAAAATTCAGTTTTGAATCAAGGATGACCCCAAGATAGCTACAGATCTTGACTTGCTCTATTTGATAATTATTTAAGGAATGTAATTGGGGGAAAATAACTTCATACTTTAGTCCTGGTGAGAAGCATAGCACCTTGGGTTTGGAGGTATTCAGGACTAGTTTAAGAGCAACTAGCTGATATTCATATTCTTAGGTTTTTTTCGGTAAAGTCACGTAGGTAAAACATCAAAATTAATGAAAATAAAATAAAATAAAACAAAAATCACGACGTTTCGGAGGCAACACAAGTCTCCGTCATCAGGTGGGACCGTCACAGCCGAATTAGCTGCATCAAGTGAGGCAATGATTCAAGATGTAATCCCTTATAAGCAAGTTGAAGGGGGGAGGAGAGGGGGGGGCTCATCAGAATGTGGTAGCCAATGAATGGAAACGTATCGGGAGGGAGGGGGGCGGGGCTCAAAGACAGCACGGAGTGCTCAACACATTAGGCAGAGAGGGGGAGGGGAGGCCTGATACACATGAAAGACAAAAGAACGAAAATGCCCATGTTTATACCAATGCTGGCTGAACAATGAAGAGAGTACTGTTAAAAAATAACTGGGAATGTTAACACTCGGTAAAGTAAAGTAAAATAGTGCCTGTCAGATAAGATGGTCCAAAAAAGTGTAATTAAGTCTTTTTTGCGTGGTTGATAACATCTTTCCAATGATTACTAAGTGTGTACCCATCATCACGGTTGAAATTATGTCTGTGTTTGTATATTTGTATGGCTTCGTGTACAAACCTTTGATGGTAGCCGGGGGGTTTCTCTACATAATTTCAACCGTGATGATGGGTACAAACTTAGTAATAATTGGAAAGATGTTATCAACCACGCAAAAAAGACTTAATTACACTTTTTTGGACCATCTTATCTGACAGGCACTATTTTACTTTACTTTACCGAGTGTTAACATTCCCAGTTATTTTTTAACAGTACTCTCTTCATTGTTCAGCCAGCATTGGTATAAACATGGGGCATTTTCGTTCTTTTGTCTTTCATGTGTATCAGGCCTCCCCTCCCCCTCTCTGCCTAATGTGTTGAGCACTCCGTGCTGTCTTTGAGCCCCGCCCCCCTCCCTCCCGATACGTTTCCATTCATTGGCTACCACATTCTGATGAGCCCCCCCCCCTCTCCTCCCCCCTTCAACTTGCTTATAAGGGATTACATCTTGAATCATTGCCTCACTTGATGCAGCTAATTCGGCTGTGACGGTCCAACCTGATGACGGAGACTTGTGTTGCCTCCGAAACGTCGTGATTTTTGTTTTATTTTATTTTATTTTCATTAATTTTGATGTTTTACCTACGTGACTTTACCGAAAAAACCTAAGAATATGAATCCTTGCAGTCACGAAAGCTTCAAATCTAAAATCAACTAGCTGATGTTGTAGTTTGTTGAAATCACCCTGGAACTTAGCAATCACGTCATCCGGAGAGCGGCCAGCAGTAATCAGTTTCGTGTCATCTGCAAACAGATTTACCCTGGAATAATCCCGGTCAGTGCCCAAGTCATTGACATAAAGAGAGAACAAGAAGGGCGCGTTGATGGAACCCTGTAGAACCCATTTTGTTATCTTAACACTGTTTTACCTCCAACCATCTATGAATATAGTTTGAGTGCGAGAAGAGAGGTCATTTTTTAACCATTCCACTGCGTGTTTGGAGAAACGGAGGCAACTGAATGTACTAAGCATGGTGTTGTGGTCGACAGTATCAAAGGCTTTGGACAAGTCAAGAAAAAGACTGGCACAGTACAGCTTATTATCAAGGCGACTGTGGTGCTGTCTTTTTTTCGGAACCCAGATTGGTTTCGATGTAAGAGATTGTTCTTCTTGGTTCTTTCGGTAAAGTCACGTAGAAGGGAAGTAATACAATAATACAAATTAAACATAATAAAATAATTCTCACGACGTTTCGGCCACAACGCAAGTAGCCGTCTTCAGGTGAAGAATGAAACACTGCCAAGCTTGAAGCGTATATATATAAGCTGGGTTGGAGGTGGAAGAAGAGCGTCTTGAGAAAAGAATTTGCATATCAAGAGCAATGGGAAATGCGTAGGAGGTGGGCGGGGGGGTTTTAAAAGTCATATTATACCCATGCATTATGCAGGATTAGCAGCATCAGAGGGAGGGGGTAGCATTAACAAAGGGAGGGAATATTAATAGTATTAAAAGCCACGAAACATGTCAAGCGGTGGCAGGAGGCCCGCAGCGGAGCAAATAATGCATTCCCTGTGGAGAACACAAGATACACAGTCAATGCCAGTGAGTAGACTGCGGTGTGAAAGTCACCATAAACGTGAACAACAATCAGTTACCAGTAAGCCTGCCTTACAGCCTATATCAGTAAGACTGCCTTACGGTTTCTACCAGTAACCCTGCCGTATAGCTTCTACCAGTCATCCTACCTGATAGTCTCTGCCAGTAAGTCTGCCTTATTGTTTCGACTAATAAGCCTGGCCCATAGTTTATTTCAGTAAGCGTCTTACAATATATCTGCAAGCTTTCTCCATTCTCTTTAAGTAATCCAAAACCTTATGAAGTCTCCAAACGCAATTCTAATCTAACAGTAAACCGGTCAACTGTGTATATGGCCTGGATAATCAGCCGTTGTCTTTCGTCATCATTCGCCAGTGTCTATTCACCACTAGATGTAAATAATGTAACATCTTTAAAGTGCCTCAAATGTAAGTTATAATCGTGGAACTGCTCCTGTACTGCTAGTGACGTTAGAATTAGATCCACGTTCGTCTTCTCTCCCCTGAGCTCTCTGCCCAAAGCAACTCCCGGGCACAAGCCCACCCCACCGGGGTGTTTGACCGCTTGGGGAATCTGCAAGAATTATATCTGGGGTGGAACCAGCTGTCAGCTCTGCCTGTTGGGGTGTTTGACAAACTGACCCAGCTCACTCATCTGTCTCTGGACGTCAATCAACTGAAGAGCGTTCCCAGGGGTGCGAATCACAAACACAGATGCCTCTGCTCCTACACTCTAAGCAGGTCATGGCCTTGAACATCAATGCTGATGTACGTGTACTATGCCTATGAAGTCACTGCACTCTCAACATGTTTCAATTGCTTCAGCAAATCCTTGTCTAACAATATGGAACCAATTCACACTGTTGTTTTTCATAATGCAATGAAGATTGACTGCCATGGCAAAACAAGGTCTATTATCTTGTCTGGTAAACCATATGTGTTTAGAATAAACTCCTCGTACACACAGTCGAAAGCCTTTTTGCCGAAAGTATTTAAATGAAACAAACGCTTCAAGTATGCACAGAGGACACGCATGGGAATTGACACCAGTATATATACAATGCAAAGTACAATGATTGTTACCAACGTTTTGTATTTTGAACCACCTGTCTATGCCATGTGTTTCAATAAACTCTACATCCCTGGTGTCTCTTTCCTTAACTCGAATACCCCTCTAGGGAATGTACAGGGGTGGGGAGTGAATACAATGGAGGGGGTGGGGGAGCTCTTTTACAAACAGAAGTATTTAACCAATATTCCTGTTTCTTGCACAGTAACTTTTTATGATCGGATGAAGTCAATCAATCTTCTTTGTCACTTCATATATCTTGTTGATACTTCATGGTGAGCAGTATCCATGGATTGACCTTTATAATCGTGGGAAAGATGGAACGCTGAGATTAAGAGTCCGATTATTTTCAAACGCACTTTAAATTGATAGACCTCATCTGTACATGTTATCATTTGGATCACGATTTGATATTAAGAATAGCCCTAAAGTATGATATTTGATGCGTTTTCAAGTTGCGTCCCTCCAACATTATATTTATTGTAGTGAGTCCAACTGAGTCGCAAACGTTGTTCCTTTTAGAGGCAACACATTTATTTGCAACACCGTAACAGAAAGGGGTAACTTCCCGTTTACCAGATACAACCTAGGGTGGTGACCACCCAGCTAACCACAGAATACAGAGGAGTTACTGCTACGAAGGGTCGGACCCTCACGTGGGTCTCCTACCACGTGGTTCCTCGTAGGGTGAAAAGCTTCCAGCTTGAGACGCAGAGCTTCCAGCGTGTAGAATGAGGAGACCCCGGTCCCTCTTAGGACCCACCTTAATCCCCCAACGGTCGGGGCCGCTCCGCCCTCAGCCCCGCCCGCCTTCTCGAGCATTCTCGTTCCCTCTCGATCCCTCTCCAGAGCTTTCCCCGGACACGTGATCACCCACTAGCCCCCCACCCCCCCCACCAGGGGCCCCTTGTGTCGACACTCCGGATCACGTGTCTGTGGGGTCAACCAGAGTACCATGGCCCAGGGAAACCCTGCCCCTGGGCTGACACTCACCCACTCCCCCTCGTGGGAGCCCCCACCACATGCTGTGTTGTGGCCGCACTATCCCAGTGCTCATTAAGCCCCGCTAGGGCTGGTATTATACACAGCCACCCACACGGTGTTGTCCACGATGTCAGAACATCGAACGGCGCGGCCCTTCTGGACCGGCACCATACAGTGACATCATCGACGTCACTACATGATCATCACACTTATTGTACAGTACGTTGGTGTTTAGTTTAGCCAATGTTTGTGTAATAAAGCCCGTTGAGGCGACTTCTGGAATCCGTCTTTTATTCAACTTATATTACAGTTTACTTCACGCTTCTGATAGGCAGTGTGAGATGGACAGATATAGAGAGAGGGACGCACTGCCACGTGGCAACTCAGAGCCCCGCTCCCACGTGTCCCCCTTACTCGGTTCGTTCCCGTTCTGACCACGTGTCATTCGTCTCCACCCCTATTTAATACCCGGGTCACGTGGTACGTTTCCGCCAATCCTCGTTAGCCTGCATGGAATCTTCCAGGCTCCCTCGTCAGCTCCCGGGACCACGCCCCTGACTCATCTCCCCATTGGCTGTGGCCAAAGGCAGCAGAACCAATCCTTATAGCTGTCACCTTTCCATCATGTCAGGGCCATGCCCCTAGGCTTCCCCCCATTGGCTGTAAACCAGGACCGGCAGAGCCAATCACCATGACGAGTTTTGATACGTCAGTGAGCCGGATATATCCTCATATTACATTTGCATATATGAAACTACAGCGTGATTATGAATAATCTAATAACCTACAATGATGCCGTTTACAATTACATTCTTCAGGCTATTCATTGTATACTTTCATTTGTAACAAGGTGTTATTAATATTCTTGGTTCTTTTGGTAAAGTCACGTAAAAGGGAAATAATACAATAATATAAATATAAATCAAGAAAAATTATCACGACGTTTCGACTGCAAAACAAGCAATCATCATCAGGTTTGAAATACACAGCAAGAAATTTTGAAAAAAGTGGCGGTTTTTTCCTAACGTCAGCACCACGAACAGCGATTTGGCAGTTCGGAAAAGAGGAGGGGGGAAAAGAAAATGGAATGCGGTCTGAAAGTCACCGTAAGCGTGAACACAATCAATTAAGTCCCGAAATGGTGTTATTTGCCTGATAGATGTTTCCGTATTCAAATTTTTAGCAACAACAATAAGAAGACGAAAGCAATGCAAGTAAAACGCTCAAATGAAAGCAGGTTGGAGTGCTTTTGTAAAATGAACTGCACAATGAAACACAACATGTCCATGTGCCTACAACTAGAGATGTTGATCCGTGTGACCCACCTCTTATCGTAAATGGTGCAGAAGCACCACTGTGAAGTGTGCACAGAAGCACTGCGAGTTGCATTTTGGGAATTACAATGAGAAGCAGAGGAACATGGGGATCAGAGACTAAAACTGCTTTAAATGACATCAAACCAATAATGAAAGTAATTTGGCTTGTCCAGGACATTGCGCAAGAGGGGATGCTGGAATAATCCACGATGGCCAATGCACATTGACCACGGTCGATAAAACTAAGGGAGAGAACGCACCCGAAACAACGTTCACCATGGAGATGGAGTAACGACAACAGCTCGTGGGTAGGCGCAAAGTGGCTTCATACATCGCATGGTCGTGACCGGCTTGCAATGGATTGATCATGGTTCTTGATGATAACATTTCCACGTATGGACATGAAAAAAAATATATGAAGTAGGTGAGAGCCAATTTAACTTCATGTCAGTATGCTCAAGGGAGACCTGGTAAATACTTTAATGAATAATTAAATATATTTATTATTAAGGGAATTATAGACGCAAATACAACATCAATTAATCGGTATTGATCAGTATTAGCGGCGTATATATGAGGAAAATCTTCAGGAAGAGGCAGCTCGTGAAAATGTTGGACCACACGTGACGCCGCTCGCGTGCAAGGGGAGGCCGTTGTGACCCGCCTCTAAACCGTCACCCGTCCCTCGCAGTGTTCGTGCTCAGGGACAGAAGTGAACTGTGATAGCAGAAGTCTCTCGTCTGTGCCTGCGGGAATCCCCACTACCACGCGAGTGCTGTATTTGGTCAGAAATCAGATCACGAAGCTCGAGCCCGGAGTGTTTGACAGTCTGACGGCACTGGTGGAGACACGAGACCCTGAGGCTCCTGCTCTTGCCACTGCGATAGTGAATCATTGCGTATCATCACAAATGCATCTTTTATATTTACGCAAAAGATAACATAACATTGTTTTTCGGACATCGTTGCCATGGATATCAGTGCCTTGAAAAAGCAACGTTCGGACTTTAAATGGAGATAATTTTATTTGAAACATGTTAATGATTGTAAACAGATATTGCTTCAAATAACAAGAAAGTGCTTTCTTTGGATAACATATCTTTGTGAATAGCAATGGAGTTTGCTTGAGTTGATACATCTCTGTGAAAGCGATTCGAGGTGAATGTAAGAGGTCTCTGTGAGAAGCATCAATGTGAATGGATCACGTAGTAATTCATAACGCAGTAATCTATGACATTACATTTAGTTTATTTACGTGACACGTCTCTCCATGAAAGTGATTTTAGGTCTCTTTAACTCACAGATCTCTTTGCAAGTAAATTCCATTGATTATAACGAGCAGGTCCCGATCGAAGGAACCTGAATCACTTCAACTGTCAGGTTTCATGTGAAGCGAGTCAACGTTGTTTTAAACAAGACGTGTCTATGATAGCGAATGGAGGTTTTGTCAACTCCCGTGTCTGCATGAAAGTGAATGGAAGTGGGTCTGGTTAATAACTTAATGTGAATGGATTTCGCTCTCTCTTACAAAAATCCATGAGAGTGGTGAGAGGTCGCTTTAAGTCAATAGCATTGAGGTCTCTAGACGTGAATAGAGGCCACTTTGAACTTACTTGTCACTACCATCAGCACAAGTCATTAGTATCTGCCGGGGTGTTTAACAGTTTGACCCCGTTCAAGTGGTTAAGTGGTTAGGAGTGGTGGCCACCACCTTTTGTAGTTAACCCATAATGTACATCGTTTTCCCGTAATGTTAACCTCAGAGCGTTGCAACAGTTATCTGTTATGTTAGCCGGTTCGAGTTGTGACGGCTGCAAGACCCTTGGAGGGGGACCTTCTTCCGGCCTTCGATTGGCCCCACCATCTGCTATAGATGCAGCCTACTGGACCACATCTCCAAGGGCTGCCGTGCCGAATGGGAAGGACCACACAAGGCATCATCATCCTCCTCCGGGTTGTCCTCCACTCCATCGGGCCCGTAGATGAGTCACGACGCACCACACACCCGGTCCTTGCATCCACTTCACCTATTCGCGCGCTGCATCCACTTTACGGGTCGAACAGTCCGGTCGAGTCACGGAGTGTGTTAAACAGGTTGTGGGGAACGACGGGTGGCTACGGCGAAACAGCCAGTGCTCAGCACTAGTCTACCACGTGGTCGCCGCAGCAGCTTTATCGGCCATAATTGGCACCGTTCAAGGCATGGAGGTACAGATATTGATTGACACTGGTGCGTTCATCACCATGATTTCGAAGATTATTTTTAACATCCTTCCACCCTCTTCATGTTCGCTGCGTCCCGTTGCGGTTCCGTGTTTCGCGGCAGATG